CGATCCATTGTAAAGATTACCTGAAGAAGGAACCTATAGTTACACCATCGATCCATTGTAAAGATTACCTGAAGAAGGAAACTATAGTTACACCATCGATCCGTTGTAAAGATTACCTGAAGAAGGAACCTATAGTTACACCATCGATCCATTGTAAAGATTACCTGAAGAAGGAAACTATAGTTACACCATCGATCCGTTGTAAAGATTACCCGAAGAAGGATCCCATAGTTACACCATCGATCCGTTGTAAAGATTACCTGAAGAAGGATCCCATAGTTACACCATTGATCCATTGTAAAGATTACTCGAAGAAGGAACCTATAGTTACACCATCGATCCATTGTAAAGATTACCCGAAGAAGGAACCTATAGTTACACCATCGATCCATTGTAAAGATTACCCGAAGAAGGAACCTATAGTTACACCATCGATCCATTGTAAAGATTACCCAAAGAAGGATCCTATAGTTACAACATCGATCTGTTGTAAAGATTACCCGAAGAAGGAACCTATAGTTACACCATTGATCCGTTGTAAAGATTACCCGAAGAAGGAACCTATAGTTACACCATCGATCCGTTGTAAAGATTACCTGAAGAAGGATCCTATAGTTACACCATCGATCTGTTGTAAAGATTACCGAAGAAGGATCCTATAGTTACACCATCGATCTGATTGTAAAGATTACCTGAAGAAGGAACCTATAGTTACACCATCGATCTGATTGTAAAGTGTACCTGAAGAAGGAACCTATAGTTACACCATCGATCTGATTGTAAAGATTACCCGAAGAAGGAACCTATAGTTACACCATCGATCTGTTGTAAAGATTACCCGAAGAAGGAACCTATTGTTACACCATCAATCCATTGTAAAGATTACCCGAAGAAGGAACCTATAGTTACACCATCGATCTGTTGTAAAGATTACTTGAAGAAGGAACCTATAGTTACACCATCGATCTGATTGTAAAGTGTACCAATCAACAAAAATATGATCCTTATTTTCAAAATTCATTTAACTGTACCATTCCTTCCAAAGGGATTTTAGGATACAAGAACTCGGTGTCAAAACTTGGAAAAAAACCTTATTTCAAACTTTAGATTTTTCTTTCACTAGAAAATTCAAAACTGTCTTTCGAGGTATATCCATTAGTAATATACTTCTTCAAAAATGTAACTAAATAATCTGCCAAAGCATGATTTTAAGTTCCAATACTTGAAACTATAGGTGTTAATTGATCTCTTGAAACTATAGGTGTTAATTGATCACCTTTACATATTTTGTGAATTCCATAAAAATATCCCTGGTTGTTTTATAAATTATGATGTAAGAACAGAGAATAATGTTTATTTTTTTTAAAAAAGATTATACCGTGGAATAAAATTTAATTTAATATCACTGGTATTCTTAGTTTTATTACTTTGTCTATACTATTAAAATTTATTGAGCATGAATCAATATTGTTCACATAAAAACAATTCTTCTGTTAACTCTTATTAAAAAGTTGACTTTAGTTTTGTTCTATCATTCCACATCAAGGATTGACTGAAGACCTGAATGAGGATTATTTTGTTTGTCTAACATGATGATGGCCATTAGGTTCATTAAGGTTACCTCTCATTCACTGCAGATCAATTACAACATTAAACCACATATCTATCCAATAAAATAATTCAAACATTTCACTTCTTCAGATAAACCATTCCATAAATTTTACAACTAAACAGACATAAATAATTTTACTAGAAGACCAATTTGCACCTTGTTACATCTAATATATAAGTTGGTTCTTTCATTACATTCTCCAAACAACTTACATTTTTTAACCTTGTGCCAATCTGTTTCTGAGTTCTATCAAACATGTAGTGTTCCAAACGAGGCCTCACCAAGGTCTTATTGATGTTAAGTTCAAAACTCATTGTAATAGAACTCTGTGGGATGTTCTCACCACACTACACATTCTGGTTTAACCAGTCGTTGCTTTGTACCAAAAATTTAGTGTTTTTCAAGCCAAAGCCTTAGTTATAAAACTCATTTTCCAGCTTCTGCATATCAGAAAAACCATGAAAAACCTTACTCGAGGTGCAAGAACATACTGTGGTTTTAAATCGTGGGGGGTTCTATATGAATTTATTCTTCATTTACCACATAAAGTTGAAATAAAGAATAAAAGTTGGTCTGATAATATTGTTTTCTCGTATGAATCAGAATGTTTGAATTTGACAGTTTGTACAAATTGTCTCTGTTGTAACACATGCAAATAAAAATACACTTTATTTTGTACATTTGATATATATCCAGTTTCTTAAATGTCTCATTTGTCTCTCTCTCTCTGCTGTGCAAGATACATAACACGTGAACAGTTTTTAGTCTGAATGTCATATGCTAATGGACTTTAAAAACACTGGGAACAGAAACCTTTGTTTCTTCAATATGCTAAGTTTTCAGAAATACTTAAGAATTTTATAATAAATGAAAAGTTAAGAGTTCTTTAGTTTTTTTTTAGAAAAGAGGCTCACCATGTACAGATCTCAACAGAAACAAGCTTTTATCACAGTTTTTAAAAACATTATAAAACAAACGTATGTTTATACAATGGTGTTGAAAAGTTTTAAAGGTTAAAACCAAAACTAATTAGAAAAAAAAATGTGTTTAATTTATCCAATACCTGGTGAGGTAATTTTGTACCTAAAGTATTCTAAGTGATATTAAACAGGAGTTTTTAATTAACACAATGTGTTACTTTTAAATATATAAGTGGAATAATAACAGGGAAGGAAAGTGTTACAGCTAACAACATATACAAGTAAAATAACAGGGAAGGAAAGTGTTACAGCTAACAACATACACAAGTAAAATAACAGGGAAGGAAAGTGTTACAGCTAACAACATACACAAGTAAGATAACAGGAAAGGAAAGTGTTACAGCTAACAACATATACAAGTAAGATAACAGGGAAGGAAAGTGTTACAGCTAACAACATATACAAGTAAGATAACAGGAAAGGAAAGTGTTACAGCTAACAACATATACAAGTTAGATAACGGAAGGAAAGTGTTACAGCTAACAACATATACAAGTAAAATAACAGGGAAGGAAAGTGTTACAGCTAACAACATATACAAGTTAGATAACGGAAGGAAAGTGTTACAGCTAACAACATACATAAGTAAAATAACAGGGAAGGAAAGTGTTACAGCTAACAACATACATAAGTATAATAACAGGGAAGGAAAGTGTTACAGCTAACAACATACATAAGTAAAATAACAGGGAAAGAAAGTGTTACAGCTAACAACATATACAAGTAAAAGTTAATCAGCAAAGGTTAAAAGAGTTGTGTCAAATAATGATGGAATTTGATATTAACATGATAACAGATAATACATCAAGTATGCATTTTGAAATGAAACAGTAAAATATTTCACGCAGCATACTTAAATACAGTTTGTTTGTTTCAAACATTTCATTTTCTTGCTCTCATTAACAAAGTAATGTATTTGTAAAAATAAATAACAGAAAGTCTGTTGTTGTTGGTAAGCTTTCATGAGGAATTCCAGCAGTAAGCCTGGTACATTGTCCATGTTTCCGTATTATTATTGAACATTAGCAAAGCTAAATACAGTGTTATTGAAAATGTATAGAAATTTTATTCAGCTGAACACAGGACTGATTTTTATTATTAAAAATGCTAAATTTCTTTATCCTTGTACATAAAATAAATGTTAACTTTGGACCATCCATATGTAGGATTCTGGTTACCATTGTGTTAAAATATGTACAAGTTTTTCTTAAAAACTGGACAAACGACCTCATATTTTAAGTCACAAATAAATTATTCATACTGACATAAAAGCCAGACTGTGTGTATTTACAGGTTACACAACTCTAGGTGACAGGACTTTTGATAAACGTGGAGTTTTATTCTTATATCACTTGTTTGATCTTGGATTAAAAAAAAAAGCCATATGTCACCAGGAAAATTACGCTCTTGAAGTATTTAGTAAACAAAGTTGATTATTTAGGTATTAACCTTGACAACAATATTAATCCTACATTTCAGAAAGATATAATACCTGTCAACAAAATAAACCATCATCTTTCTCACCCAAGTGTAAACAGACAAACATATTATACTAAGATTTTTTCTAATTAAAACAAAAAAAAAACTTCAAACAATTGTAGGCCTTGACCTTTGAAGGCATCAGCAAATGGTTGATTCAGGACTGCTGTTAGCAACATTATTTTAACTAACTGTGTCATAGTATTCAATTATTTCATTAACTGTTAATCAGTATGTGTATTTATATGTATAAACCTTCTGTCATGTGTCCTTTTTTAAATATTTTTGAATGTCAAAACTCATTTTGATTACATACAAGTTTTGTATTTAAATTATTTCACAAATGTTAAAAGATGTTTCATTTGGGCAGAAACTTGTGTATCTAGGCCATGAGTGCCTTGATTGACAGTCTACAATATCCCGCTGTTGATAGACCCTATACTAAAATGTATTTTATTATTAAAAGTTACTGTTTAAATACAGAAAGCTGACTAAACATTAAAAGCAGTAGGCCTAACATTTGTTTTAATCAAGGAAACATTAAGAGGAATGTTGAAAACTTGCCTTCAATTTACATGTTTTCAGTTTTATTATTGCCTTCAATAAGCAACCACATGGGCACAGTATTTCTAACCACACTGCAGAGACCAGATGGTGCGAGTCTGTATGGCTCATGTGATAATTGCCTTGCCAACCAATCAGATGAGTTGAACTATCACCATTTCCTTATGCCTGGCCTGGGCATGCCCTGCAGCTCAAACGTGAATTTTAAAACCAGCAAGTCAAATAATCTTTTTAATTTTATCACTATTACAGTAACCACCTGTATTCAGAGTCTTGCGTCTATTGATACTTGTCAGTAACAATTATCTTCCTTCTGATATGTGTGTTAGCAGTTTTTTCTAGTGCCTTCTAAGTTTTACTAGCAAAACTGTAACACTAACTAGACATTTTGATCCCTGAACAGGTTAAGTAATATTAAGATAATACTAATGAAGATAAAAATTAGAAGTAATTTAATTAATCACTAACATTTTTTTCAATGTTATAAAGTCCCCGTCTCTAGAAAACTTCTTAGCATGATTGACTAGCTAAAACCAACCAAATTTTCTAACACATATAATATTTTGTACAAAGCATGAGAATAATTATTAAAGTTTGTGTGGTAAATCTGTTCTAAGGTTTTGGTACCCCTGGGTGTTCTTTATATATATAGTATGTTCAATTAGTTGGAGTTTAAGAGTATTGGATGAATAAACAAAATAACTGAAAAGTTTTACTTCTTATCAAAATAATCTAAGACACCAAGTTCAGACAATTGTTTGGTAACAGTTTCTTTCCAGCCTTTGTTTGCTAATGGATTAACAGGACTTGGATGCATAATAGCAGAAACCCTTATATTGTCAATACCACCAGTTTTGAGTACTTTGGTAACTCTGCTTTCTACAAACTTTCCAACTCCAATCACAATCTTGGGTTTTAATAATTTCACCACATCAACAAAAGCTACATCACAAATTTCAGTCACAGCTGTTTTTGTTGGGCCTTTCAGTTCTGGTGGAGTTATATTTTTGCTACTCTCTGTCATGTAAATTAGTGGACAATAATTATGCACAAAACAGCGTTTAAAAAACTTCTCCGGAGTTCCACAAGTTTCTTCGAAGAATGACCAGAATCGATATCCACTAACCTTAAGATAAAGTCATTAAATATATATTCATATTAAAATTGAAAAATAGGTTTTTACAAGAGCAATTGACTAAAAGTTTTTAACACTCATCCAATTTCAGCAAACTAATAACAATCACATAACACAATAACTGATTTTTTACGTGCATTATTACAATATTTTTCCTAACCACAAACTGACACATCCTGAAAAATTATCTGAAGGCTGAAATAGTTAGTGTCTTTGTGTAGTTCACTATTCTTTAAGTTAAAAGCTTACAAAAACTATGCTTAGCCCACAAAACTACTTTTATTATCTATTTTGCCAAAACTGATGGTCTAACATTTACACAGTGCATGAAATTCAGAACACAAATTTATTAAACTTTGAGAGTGAAAAAAATAGTTTTTTTCTAAAATGAATTTTCTTCACATTTTTACATAAAAATTTAAAAAGTTTTAATAAAAAACTGGATGCATTATGACAATTACTAATTTTCATTTTAAGATTATAATACATGAAATCTTAACTACAGTTTTTTTCATAACTATTGGACAGCTTCAAGTTACATTGATAATTTAAAACTTTGCATTAAATGATTGGTTAATAGTATAAACTATCTATAAATTCACAGTACCTCACGCTTTGTACAGCTAAAACCGCTAATTACTCTTTTTGGATGCTCTTGTGGTGGTTTTCCTACAACCCCCTCAATCTTCAGCCAATCACGCACATATGCAACTTCACCAAATGGCACCTAAACAATAATCAAAGGTAAATTTTTTTATTATTGAATTAATTTAACAAATGGAAGGTCCCCTATGTCATTTACATAAACTACTGGTAAATAACAATTCACTATATTGGTTAATTATACAAAACCATAAGTGGGGTGGGGCAAGGGGGAGCAGTTTTTTCCTATGGGATATATAGTATACACATGACATTCAAAATAATTATGTCAAACCTTTTTGCCCCCCAAAAACTTTGGTTCCAAATCCCACCCATGTACATGATACAACAAAACATAACAGATGGACAACAAAGGGCCTTTTTGTCCTTCAAGGTATCTTTTCACACCCACTATTGACAGAAGTAAAAATTTAAAACCCACCATTTAGGATATCATCAATTCCCCTCTTAAAATTCTGTAAAGTGATGGCATCCATTATTGCAGATGGTAGCTCATTCCATAAGCCAATCACCCTGTTAGAAAAACAAAACTGTCTTTGCTGTCAAAAGTTTTTTTGGAAAATAACAGTTAAAACTCCCACTTAGATTTTATGATAAATCTCATAAGGACTAAAAGTTAGAATTACAAGCTTCATTTTGTACAGGAGTTCCCCTAAGAATTTTTGAATTTCTTCTTCAACATACCTACAACTTATGAAAAATTCCTATTTACATTTTAAAAATTGCTTGACTTTAAGTATCTCTTCTCATCTTTCATCAGTAAAAATACAAGTAAAAACTGATTATAGCATTCTGCCTTGTTCTCTTCCTTAATTACAAAATTATTTTCAAAACCTTTTACACCAAAGTCAGCATAATCCTCGCATCAAATTTGGTATTCTGAGAAAAGATACTTTTATAATAATGAAAAATCGACATATAGTCAACAGACGATAAAGATTGTTTTACCAAATATAGTATTCCAATAATCTTTAACTTTTAATGGAGAAATCCTTTACTCCAGGATAAGTCTGAATTTAGGCTCACGCAGTTTCAACTTGTAAGTTGTATCAACTAATATTAAACGTCTTTTCCGAATTTCAGTTTTGGATTACTTCAGAAATATACTTACTACAAATACTAGCATCCATTAAGTTTATATTGGTAAAGGTTTATATATATATCATATAAGAATACACGAGTTTTTAATTAAAGTAATGGGACTTAAAAGTTAAAAATAATAATACTAACACCTGTTTGGGCCATTCCAAAAGGGCCCGGATTCATTCCTAAAAAAATAACATCTTTCCGACCTTTACAATACTTTTTTATGTAGTCTTCGTGAGGTTCCCTAGCATATTCTAGAGGATTATACACATAAGAAACTTGAGGTTTGTAGTCCACTTTCATTAACTTTTCACCTTGTGCTCTTTCTATTTCGAGAAAAGCTTGGCATACTGAATCTTCATTACCAGAGCCAAATTCCATTTCCAATTTACGAATTTTCGATGGTGGGGCCATAGTTTTGTTTAACATATGATCAACAAAAAATTTTTATAAAGTTAATAATATCATTAATTTACTCTTTAGAGCAACTTTAAGTAATGTGTGACTTGTCTTTTTTCAAATATTATCAATTATTCGATGATCTAAACTTTCATTTTTCTAATTAGCGTAAACAATAAAATGCACTTTGATCGTTGTGCCACGTAGTGTACCAAAAGTGAACTAATCAAAACCATACAACAAAGGTAAAATTACTTTTTAAAACTAAATGTGGTGATGGAATTTAGTGTGCTACTTATATTTTTAACTTATTCACAGCATTAATAAAAAAATTACACACACACACACACACACATATATATATATATATATAGAGAGAGAGAGAGAGAGAGATACGTATTAATAATACATATTTCTGAACAGAAACATAAGTAATAATAGTTTAAATAATAATAAAACTAGCATGCTAAACTTCCATCTTCTATATGTTTGGATAAACTTTTAAGGTTAAAGCATCAAAGAACTTATAACTTAGACAATCCAAGCAGAATTATGCTAGTCTTTAATATTTTTAGAAAGTTTCTACCAACGTATCTAGATATAACAAGGTTTTCCCTTCTTTTTTTTTTTTTTTT